AAAATTTAGGGGAACGTTCCCCACCCATGTGTGACCCCGCAAATTTAAATTCAGCTTCCCCGTACCTACGGGTAACACGTATGGACCCGTGAAAGTTTTTCACGGGTAGATTAATATCTCGGGAACTACGGAGTCTAGGACACTGAAATTTTAGGGTAATGACCCCCTGCCCACGCTCAGTCTTGCCGATTCAAATTCAATGTTCTCGTGCTCTCGGGTGCCACCTACGCCCTCGTGAAAATTTTGGCAGATAAACTATTAACTCGGGGATCACGGAGAGATATTCATCCTTCAAGGTTTCGAGTTCAGCTTTCATGTGTTGGTGCGTGAGATTTCTAACTATTTTTCAGTGCTTCAACTATTTTTGCATAGATTAAAGTACGAAGCAGTGAAAATCATTAATAGGCAATTGCCCGATGGGCTGAAATGCACAAAACGCGTGATCGCACCAGCTAGTCTGGTGCGCGTTGCTATTTATTACTTTTGTGAATAGCACCGAATTCATTGATCAGCAACAAAAAATGCGAAAAAATGAATCAATAAGGGTAGAGGCAGGCACATGAAGGGGAGAGGGGATGGGGAGGGGGTGGGAGAGAGGAATAGAGAAGAGCAAAAAAGCTATTCACAAAAAATGAGCAAAAAGCTTGAATTAGTACCCAATTGCTATTCACCTGAGTGAACCTGTATTCAGCAAACTGCAAGATCCTTTTTCCGGCTGTTTTAGCTTGAGCGGGAGTTGGTCTGCTCCACTGGAGAGCAAAGGAAGAGGCAGTGAGACAGAGCAATTAGCAGTCCTTCAATGCATTTTCTAGAAATGCTTTGTATCCCGGGGCTCCTCTGTTACTTTCAGTATTTAAGGGAAAGGCTGATTTCGAGTCATTTTAATAAACAGTTCCTTCAGGCTGCTGAAGCGGAAGCAAAAAAGAAGAGCTTGGAAGTGCATTTCGTCAAAGGATTAGTGCTGTCGGTGGAAAATCTTCCGAAAGAGGGCTGTGATCTTGCAAAAATCAAGGAATTCTTCAAGAAGTATGGTGACGTGCAGTATGTCGTCTATGAAAGTGGTGATGAAACGGTCAGTTCTGTTTTTATGAGTGTGCGTTTTTGCGTAGATACAAACGCAAAAACGCATGTTGTAACGATCTGGTGTGTGTGTATGTGTGTGTGTGCGTGTGTGTATGTGCGTGTCCGAGCATTTCAGCTCGACAGCCAAGCAAGCTTCGGCGCTAGAGTTTTGGCAGAGAATTCCTCCCCGCCCGTCCGAGTGTCACCCCAGAATCGCGATACCAACCCTCACAGATCTCTGGGCCCTACATACGAGCGCGCGCCAGAAAACTGGATTTGAAATCTTTAAGTTTTATGTGGGATGGGAACATCCCCCTTAAAACTTGAGCCTCCTAGCTTCCTGATTCCCGAGTTAGCAGTTTTCCCGCCAAAAATTTTCACGCGGCTGCGCGTGAGCCCGTGAGTTTCCACACACAGCCTCGTGAAAATTTTTGGCGGAAAAATCGCTAACTTGGGAACCAGGAAAGCTGGGAGGCTGAAATTTTAATGGAGTCAGGTGCTTAATTTAGCTCGCATGAAAACCAGTTTCTCCTTTTGTTCGGTAAATTGTTCCCTGATGCGCTAAAGAGGCATTATCGCCTTCAACGTGCTTCGTGGTGGACATCAGAAAGCGAGTTAGTGTTGTTCTTACCGGCTGGTGATTTCTGATAGCAAAATATCAAGTCGGGAACAGTGCTTGCGGATTTCATGGACCGAAACGTCTTATCTCATTCTTACCTCCTCATCTTGTCTTTGATTGCAACCTTCCAGTTTTTTTTTACCAATTAGTTGGACGGGGAACATTCCCTTAAAATTTCAGCTTTAGCATTTCAGAACCCCAAGTTATGGATTTGTGCGGGAAAAAATTTTGGCTGGTCCGTGGGCGGGTACCACGCTTACCCGGGAGTTGGTTTTCGGCTCACCGGTACCTACTTGGACGGGGAACATTCCCTTAAAGTTTCAGCTCTCTAGCTTTTCTGGTTCGCGAGTTAGCAGCTTACCCTTAAAAAACTTTGGCGGGCTCTCACATTGGTACCACGCGGGAAAGACCGCCCATTTTGGGGATTGGGGCCCGTACGTATATGTCCAGGAGTGTCCTAGTCGCTCCAGTTTAATTACTAGACTTTTATAGGCAATTACAAAAATTCGGGTCGGCTTGTTTAATGATCGACGGCGTTTGGGCTTTCCAGCGCTTTGCTCTAACATCTCTCCCAACACTATTTCGTGGCTTCACTCGCTGGAACTTTTCCAGACGCGCCGTGTAACGCTGCCCAATGTCTGGCGGATGGATCGCGTGGCCGCCGGGTGATGGGTGGGGAGGATTGGACGTAGTTGGGAGGTGTTGTTTGGTAGTTGCCCAGATGCAGTTCAAAGGGTGCGATTGAGACCGGGATAGTTAAGAGGAATGAAGTTACTGGTTAGGAGTTCAGGTCGATAAACGGTAACAGTGGTTGAGGCTTTGGAGGCAGGGATTGGCGACAGGAGACAGGAGGGGAAGAAGAGTGCTAGTCAGGAGTTCGAAACAGGAACTGCAGATAGCAGTAAAGAGGAAAATAAACCAACACAACACCACAAAGAAAAGTAAATTAAAGCAAACCTGAATGTCCGATTAAAGGGAAAAAAAGCAAAATCAATGAATTGAAGCCTGTGACCAAAAGTAAACAAAAACTGAGCTTACACGAGTAGAATTTGTCTTACAAAAGAGAATTTAGAGAAACGGAGAGATAAAAAGTGAACCTTAACGGAAACTTATTTTACTAGCATTCTCAAATGAAAGACATGTGTGGCATGGTTTCCTGTACGGTTTAGAAGCATTATAGGACTGTTCATTTTCATTTTTTGCTTTGACTGTAACAGTAATTCATGTTTGTGTTTACGGTTTTATTAAAGGCCCAGATTCGTTTTGGTGGTGAGGAGAATGGTGCAGCGAAGGCATGGGAAGAAGCGGTGAAAAAAGGCGAGGATGGAAAGGTGATGTTCCACGGCAATGAACTGAAGGGGACAGTGCTTGATGGTGAGAAGGAGGAGGAGTACTGGAATAACTTTAACAAAAAAAAAGCCGACAAACAGGAACGAATAGCGAATAATCGACGTGCCGGCAGAGGACGTGGCCGTGGCCGTGGCCGAGGTGGCGCCCGAAACAGTGGCGAAACAAGGGGCGAAAAGGTACTTTATTTTACATTATTTTGGGAATACCTGCTGAAATTGCTTCTGATTTATGGTCTGGCAAAAGTATTTTTCATCTATGAGACAAAGAGTGGAAAAGACTAAGAGTAACAATAGGAAGGCAAGTGTGCTGGAGCCGGTGGGCCTGACACAACAGCACTGGACATGGTCCAAGCAAATCCCGTAGTAATTGCCCATCCTCCACTTCCTGTCAGGGCAACGTTGCGCCACTTTCCTGGCACGTTGCCAAGTACTTTCTCTTTCTGGCGATACGAAATAATGTTGCCAGAGATGGCAGACGCCTCATTGGAGCGCAAAACGCGCCGGCCGAGCCGGGCCGAGTTGTAGTTTTCGCCCTGCTTATACTAGTAACGACCGTTCTTAATCCCCAAGTTATGAACTCGCCTTTGAAAAAAATTGGCGCGCCAGTACGCGAGTACTACGCTTACCTGTGGTCTGGGTTTAAGCACGTCAGCGCCCAGTAGAAAGGGGAACATCGCCCGAAGATTTTAGCTTTCTAATATTTTAAATCCACGAGTTGTGAGTCTTAATTTCGGGGTAAAACCATAAATGTTTTGCAGAGGGCGGCCGAGGAAGCAACCGGTAATGATGAATTGGAGGCGAAAAAACCGAAAAGAACGGTATTCCCGAATTCTGATGATGAATGAGTGAGTGATGCGTTGCTTTTGGAGAGCTGATTTTATTGATTTCTCTTTTTCTGGATACTGCACTGCATCTTACGCATATTGTTACGTTATGCTCTTCAATGTTGTTGTATTTTGTTATTTTATTCAGCCCCTAACAGTAAATGTTTTTTTTTTCTTTGCTCTAGATTGATTACTCAAAAAATAACAAGCCCTCCCCACGCTACCTCCCATTTCAAAACCATTGAGCAAACAAAAAAAACGAAGCAGTTCTAGGTCTTTTTTTATGCATCTTGTGCTGTGTAACAACAGTATAAAGCGCATCATAGGGCTGCTGTGCCCGCGGCGACTTGCCCGCGACTTCCAACTCGGGAACCATAAATCTGGGAAATTAAAAATTTTAGAGAAGTGTTCCCCACCCACATGTGACTCAGCAAATTTAAATTCAGCCTTCACCCGTACCCAGGGTGACACGTACGGCCCCATAGAAGTTTTGGCGAGGAAAATTATTATCTCGGGAACCACGGGAGCTAGAAAGATGAAATTTTATGGCATGCCTCCCTGTTCATCTGCGATCCAAGAAATTTGTATTCAGCCTTTCCCATATTGCCGGTAACGTATACAGCCCGTGAAACTTTTAGCGAGTAAATTATTAGCTCGGGAACTGCGTGATCTAGAAAGCTGGGATTTTGGGGGACTATTGCCTGCCCACGTGCAACCCCGCAAATTTAAATTCAGAACAGTGAAAATCACTGGTGGACAATCTTTGGTATACGGAACTAGAACGCATGATCGCGCCGGCTGCCCTGGTGTGCGCCGCTATTTATTATGCGTTTTGTGCTGTGTAACAGCAGTATAAAACGCATATTGTCACGGGGTTGTCTGTGTGTGTGCTTGTGTGTGTGTGCGTCCGCAGCAACTTGTCCGCAACTTTCAACTCGGGAACCACAAAAGCTAGGAGTCTGAAAATTTCGGGGAACGTTCCCCACCCACGTGTGACCCCGAAAATTCAGATTCCGCGTACCCGCGGGTAACACGTGGCCCAGTGGAAGTTATTCACGGGTAAGTTAATATCTCGGGAACCACGAAGTCTAGGAGGCTGAAGTTTTCGGGTAATAACCCCTGCCCACGCTCAACCCTGCCCATTCAAATTCAGCCTTCCCGCGCTCTTGGGTACCACCTACGGGCTAGTGAAAGTTTTTGCGGGTAAATTATTACCTCAGGAACCACGAGGTCTAGGGAGCTAAAATTTTAGGGCAATGACGCCCCTGCCTACGCTCAACCTTACCCATTCAAATCCAACGTTCTCGCGCTCCGGGTATCACCTACGGGCTCGTGGGGATTTTGGCGGGTAAATTATTAACTAGGGAATCACGGGAAAACATTTACTTTTCAAGGTTTCGAATTCAGCTTTCATGCGCTGTCGCGTTAAATTTTTAACTGTTTTCCAATGTTTGAACTATTTTTGCACAGACTAAAGTACAAAGCAGTGAAAA